CTTTGAGGCCAATTCTTATGGCATTACTCTTATTGCTCTTATAATTTCCTCTGTTTAGCTTAACTGTCTCCCATCCTCTCTTTCATAAAAATTAATTTATTTTTGACTATAATAATAATGATTAGCATGATGTTGTGCTACAGTTATAGCACACACCAGTGTGCAGGAAGGCTGCAGTACCTACAGGGCAAGGATCACAGTAGGACCTTTAATACAGGTGACAATCATGCAACAGCATTTATGTTGTGTTTCAGGCTCAGGGGCCACAGAGAGTGAAGAGAGCCAAATGCTGCCATGAGCCTTCCACTCTCCGCTTGATGTGCAGCCACATGGACACAAATGGAGATCATGGAGCAGACCATCAAAAAAACTCACAGTTTATCCTGAAGAAACCTTCCACAGTAAGGAAGAATACTGACTTTGCAAAGATTGAGTAAATCCAACAGCCTTCTGTCAACAGCAAACGGGTGCTTGAAGAAAACCTCCTACCAAATGGAAGCTGTGTTGATCCAATACGGCCTGAAGCACCCCCAAAGCTGTGCTTGATACTGGAAATGTTTGCTGTGTCAAGGCACAGCCCATTCAGAATGTAACTTTTGCTATCAAGCTATTTGGAGTTATGACTAATGTATCCCATGGTCTCTGCCCCTGCCTCCACAACACTAAATGGTCTCAAAAATGTCACAATCTCATGCTCACAGAGGAAAAAAAAAGAAACAATGTATTAACAAAGGGGCTCAGACTTTGCTTTCCAGAGGCGAGACAGACAAGGCAAAGCTATGAGGATGACCAAGATGACAGCTAAAGCCCGTGCTGTAGGAAGCAGCAAACCAAGCTTCAAACACACAAAAATCAACTCCATTAGGATGGGTCTGTAGAGGGCCAGGCTGCATGCCAGAAACAGAGCAGCTCAGCTCACCAAGAGTGTGTTTACGTGGCAGCCAGAGCACTAAGGGCGTTTGGCTACACCTGAGCCAGCTGTGCACCTGCTAGCACAAGGGCAGCCCATGGTGAGCAGCACAGCTCAGCACTCCAGAACTTCCTCAGATGAGCCCATTTTGACACCCACACCTCACACAAAAATAGCTGGATTGCTACCACTCCTTGATCTGCCCATCCAAATGTTACTCAGACACATCTAAAAAGGCTGCAATCACTTTTTTGTCATCATTGTGGACGTAACCCTTATGGCAGGAAGCAATCAGGAGGATATGCAATAACAAATTAATACCAAAAGCCAAGCTGTCTTCCATGCCACAAAACAAGGAAAAGAATAAATCTAAAGAACAGATTCCAAAGAGCTGGCAGGTATATCTCCAGTGGGAGTGGAGTGAAAATTGTCTGCACTTCTTCCAAAAAACTCTAGCCAGGATGATTAGTTAGTGTTCATCAAATATGTTCTGTTGACCAATTTTTATTATCTCATCACTATTTTTCTTTATTAGAAAAATGAGGCTGGTTAAATGCTATCAGTAGGATTATCTATAACCTACAGAGATAATGGTTTTCTATGTTAATGCAAATGTGATCACTGTGCAAGTTAAATGACCTCTGGCCCTTGCCCCCACTAGTTGTGTAATGAAAGAACACATTTAAGAG